TAAAGAAAACATTTAAATCTAATGTTCAAATAAAATGTTTTAATTTCAAGTAATTTTTCAATGAGCTTAGTGTACCAAGACTGAACATTCAGAGGATGCTTGGAGGATGTTGTCACGACAACATAAGAAGAAACAACATTCTTTTTTTTTCTCCAAGGCCTCAGATGACAGAATGTTCTTTATTAAACGTTTTTATAATGTGACGTAAACAAAGGAGGAACATTTTGCCTGTAATTTACTGAGGATGTTTTGGGGGTGTTGTTGTTGACACAGTTCTATATAAAACGTTCCCAAAATGTTACACAATAACAAAGGAAAGAAGGACATTCTTAATGCAACATCCAGGAAATGTTTTAACAACATTGCCTTTAAGGAGCAACATGCTGGGAGCTCAAATAAAAAATCCTGCTTAAAACATTACTAGAACTTTGCAGAGGTTTGTTTTAATAACAAAGAAATCTTTACAAACGAGTAATCCTTTATCACAGGTTTAAGATGTCTTTGAGTTTTAAAGATTTCTCCAGAGACACTTCTTACATCTATATTTTTCTTCATTTAAGAAAAATGTCCAAGAACTCACCCCTAGCTGTGTAGAAAGTTAAAACTGAGTGCACCTCAACCAGCTCTAACTGTAAATCCTGCCTGAACACTGAACCTTTGATGTTAGTGCAGAAATATTTTATTGCTGATAATATTTCTGTATTTTTACTTTAGTGGGATTTTTTTCAAATGCACAACTTTTGCTACATATGCAGACTTGTTGGATTGCTGCAATTAACTTAAATAAACTCAACATTTATACCACTAATGATGAGAATAGACCAAACATCATCCTTCACCTCTTGCTAGAAGATGATGCAACTCATCATCACCACAGTTACAGCTTCCTAAATGACCATTAGATTGAATCAATGTGTCTCTAGAACAATATGGATTTTAAACAGCCTTGATGAATAGATATTTATTGAAGGACTGTTTTGTTCTTTTTTTGCAGGTGTGACTAGTGAGTGCAGCTGTCAAATAGTCCCGTGCAGAACATGGTAAGTCCCTGACAGTGTGCAGCATAATGCCTACCAGTTAGCGTGTAGGGCCCAATTTACCCTGAATACACACAGTCATGAATAAGCTTCCTGTGGTTTTAGTTGATCAGCAGGAAAATAAGAAAGGCTGCCATGCCACATTATATAAACCTAAACTGATGGGGGGTGATTTGTACCATGATATGTGCAGTTATGGTGATGTAATTGTGCCACTTGTCTATACAAACCCACGTCGCAATTCGTCCTGCTTATATAACGAAAAAAAAAGAGACTCAGGCCGGTTAAATTGTGTATTTTTATTGTTTAATTGTTTATCGTTTAAGTCGCATACAGTATAATCTCTCATTGGTTTCTATGCTGCTAAAGTTTGTGGACTGAACATCTGTTGTTTTGTTGACCTTCGGATTGATTTATTGGTTTGTGGGTGAGCTGGTTGAACAAGACCAGTGCTGCTGATTTGATGAGTGACCGCCGTTTTCTCCTCGGACCCATGCGATGCTCCGTGAACCTTGAAAAGTTGCGTTACCAACTACGACAGTCATACACTGAATATTAATGTCTGGATGGTAATATCAGCCACTTCAGGCCTTTTCACACAGTTTATAAAGAGATAAACTGCATGAATGGCCAAGGAGGACATTTGAATCAAATCAAATTATTCTAATTTAATATTGGACATTAAAACGTCAGAATCTAATGAATAACTAGCCACTGTGGGGAGATTTACCAGTTCTGCTCCTCCAGCTCAGCCAACAGTGTCATCTGAAGCGTTTGCTGTAAAAAAATAGATGCAGTTGGAAGAAGAATGCAATTTTTTTAAAATCACTCTATGATTATGTTCAGGAAAGAACCCTCATAGACAACTTAATGTATCTTAACTCCAGTCCGAGATATCTCAAACCGTATGCTAGATATGCTGAATCTGCCTCTTCGTAGATCCTCGTTGCTGTTTGTTTAGTTGTAAGAGGTGTGCTTGTCCTCGTCAAAATATATAAAAATAGGCATTTTCTTTTTAAAAGGTAGATACGGTTTACGGTTGTTGTTCTGCATTTTGTTGTTGTTGTTGTTGCCCAGCTGGGATGACAGCAAGCATAAATAGCACAGGAAAGAAGGACAGGAGGTGAGACACAGCAAGACAGGGGGAGAAATACTGAATTTATGATCACTAATGCATTCCTGCAGACCTCCGGAGGTCTGCGTTAATGCATCTTTGTGAGGAACAGAAAAAAAGGGGGGCTTTGACTTGATTCATCAACACTAGCCACAACTTGAGAATTGACAGTAATAACCCATGCCCAAACATCTCAAATGTTCTTCTTTTTAATGAGCAACGCATCTTTATATCATATGTCAGTCAGCATTGAAGTGCATTGATTAAAAAGTAAGTGCAAGTACAGATTTCGATGCATTCATTTTGACTAGAGGATTAAATTATTTGCAACGTCGCCCCAAAAATAGTCATTCTACAGGGGCACTCTGCAAAAGAAAACCGCTATAGTTGATGCTGTCTCTAACCTAAAAGATATATGCTTTTTTTTCCTCATTTCAAGCTTTTTAAGTTATCTCTGAGTGACAGTGTGTAGGAGCGATTTTCATCTGCCTTCTGCTGTCAGTTCACTCCAGTCCATAAAACACAGCACTTTTCCTCAATATCACTGACATGCTCCCTGACTGATTTCTCAGTGGTTTCTCAGTTTGCGTCGAGGAACACGGCAACTGAATCAAGCCAGCAGAAGCACAAAGTCTGTGAGAAGCACTATTTTAGTGCAATAGTTTCACACTTGGTAACCTTGCCACCTAAAACTGGCTACCTCTGCATAGAGATGGAGAAGAGTTCTTATCATAGCCCCATCGATAGGCCTTGTAGTTTTTACTGAGGGAAGCGCCATTATTTGTGGTCATGTCACCAGAGCAAGGATAACAACATCTTTTGAGGTAATAAAAAACAAATAACAGCATGAAGTTATCCATTAAAATGCATTGTCCCCAGTATCTTGGATTCTGTCATCAGAATTTGGATAATACTTATTGAAACCATAAGGCTTTACGATAAATGCAACTTGGCCATATGATGGCAAAAGTCTTCAGTGGAGGCATTCCCCTTGGACTCTAGCTGCTCTCGGAGGAGGTGGGCGGTGCTGTGGAGGACGACCTCCGTCGGGACACTGACTGTGAGCGCTCAGGGCTGTGTTTGTCATAAGGCTGGAGCTGCACCTCCAGGAAGTCCCTGTGCTGCTGGCTGATCACCTGGCTGATGAGTCCAGGCAGAGCTTGCAAGTTACTCAGTAGAGTCTCCAGCTTTGTCTCCAGCAGGGCAATCCTCTTCTCCATGTCCTCTCCTCGCTCATTCAAGTCCGATATCATGTCATACATGATGTTCTGAGTCTGGAACAGGAGAGAGGAAACACACTTAATGCCATTATTTTCCAAACTGACGTTACTTTTGATGTTTGACCTGAAAATACTGCATGAAAACACAAGAGTGACGGTAACAACACAGACTTCTTTAACACTTCAGTAAAATGTGCAGTTGACAGTGCAGAGAGTTCGTTCTGAAAAGGAGACGAAAGGAAGTACAAGAAATACGATTCACTTTCTCAGTGCATTCAATTCAAGTTGCAGGCTGATTTTAAAACAATAAAAAATGTCTGACAAGCAAAAAAGCAGTAAAAAAGTAGGTTCACATTTTTCAAGTCAATCTTAAAGACCCCTTCTGATGAAAATCAAGATTTTTGTATCTTGTTAGAATTTCCTTTTGGTATTTTTTAGATGCTGGAAGACAGTCGGTGCCACAGCCAAGCATCTCCACCCTGAAACCGCATCAATGATAAACACAGATTCAGATTTCCAGGGTTTCATATGTAACCAACTTTAGGAACCAATCCAGACTTCTTTTTGTTTTTAAAAATCATTATTCTTATTTAGAATCAAAAACATGGCTTCAAACATGGCTGAATTAGTCCACTATTACAACCTGCCATTGTGCAGCATAGAGTAGTTTTACAGTTTTTGAGCTGGTGTGCTCGAACTGCAGTGAGTGGCGGACAGGAGGGGAGGGAAATAGAGGTGGATGCTTTATAAATCCATTCATTTTAAAGGAGGCAAAAGGGTGACATTACCATTTTAGGGCAGCAAGGGATTATTTACATGGAAAGAAAAACATTCTAGATATGAAAGAGAAGAGATTTTAAGACATTAATCAATGCCTGTGGAGGAATTTTAAAGCAATACTCACGTGCCCATATGTACACTGCAAATATGTGCTTTCGGTGATTTCAGTTTAAGACATTGTGGAAAAACAGTCTTACTGAATAAAAATGCAATAAACTGTCAGCTAAATCTAACATAAGGCATCAAAAGTCTGAGTTAGATAAATAAATAAAAGTCTTTTTAGTTCAAACTCCCCTTTTTGAGATACAGTGGACAGTATTTGCCTGCTAAAGCAGAGGAACAGTGGCACAAAAAGGGATGTTTTACACCCAAAATCAACTACACATTTTGTGTCACGTCCTGTACACTTAAATATCTTTAAGGAGGGATTTCTGTGTGGCCTGTGCAAACTAAAGAAACTATCTGAGCAAGCAAATTCTGTTCAGGGTGGGCATGTGAGTACTGTTTAACAGCACATTTGAGGAAAAAAAAAAAGGGAATCTATGCTTTGCTTTTGGCATTTAGCATAAAATACCAGTTTTGATGGCTGATAAATTAAAAATAGAAAACCTGTTATCTACATGAAAATCCAGGTGACATAACAGTTTAGAAGTGAAAGTCAGAATGCTTTTATTATGCTACTTTCATGGACTCTGTTTTTCAGTTCAAACACAAAAAGTAACTTCCATGTCAGAAAAACATCAGTATTTAAAAAAAAATATGCATCAGAGCTTCTACCTCGACAACCGGCATGTTTTCCATCAGAACACGACCTCGAAGGGGGCAGCTTTTATACGGACTTCATGTTTCCGTGCAGACCGGAGTACATTAGTCCGTGACCTTGAGCAGACAGGAAAGGTGCCTGCTGACTTTGCATGACGCTTTCTGCTCTTTTGATGCATCAGCCATCTGTTAAGAGTCTTTAAAAATATACTGTAGCTGCTGTTTTCCAAAACCCCCTGAGGTTCAGTCAACAGCAGACTGAGAAATCCGTGTCACATTTCGGATGAGGAGTGGGAGTGATGCTGCTAGAGGGCGGCTTCTGAGGTATTATTCAGCGTAGGCTCTAATAATCCCTGGCAGCCTAGAGGCGATGTCATCCATCACTTACCTTGTGCTCCTCTGATTTGAGGCGGGAATGATGGGATGGGCTGTTTATGTGAATCAGTGAGGACTAAAGAAGCACTGACACCGCTTAGCGAGACTGCTATAGTCGAAATGAGATTTTCACCGTGCTCTGCTACTCGAATAATCTCCCTCTTGGTTGCTTATGTGAAGATTTTTCAATAGATTACAAATTAAATTCAATAAACAGATAAGACCTAAGTGTGTGGAATTACTATCCTACACAGATCTTCTAAAAATGAGATGAATCGTAAGGCTAAACTAACCCAAGTCTGCATCTGCAAATCATGAAATGAAACATATTAAATAGCGATGACGTGAAATGCTGGAGAGCGAGAAACGAGGCTCCACGAGGGAAGAAATGTCATAAATACAGGAGCAAGAATACAGGGGGGTCATTAGAGATCCGCTTCAACCGTAAAATAAAACCACAAATTGACACTATAAAGCCATTTCTGGAGCAGATAATGAGAGAGGGGCAGAGATTGTTTCAAACAGCAGCTTCAGAGAGCAATTTTTTGCAATTTGAAGATATGTAATTCAGCCTAAATGGAAAACGTGACAAAAAAAAAAAAAAAAAATGCTGTGGGAGGAAACGACATTCAACAAATACTGCATCACTGACGTCACACTGAATGGGGGAGAAAAAAAAGGAAGAAAAAAAAAAAAGGGAGTCTACACGAGACTGTGGAGGAGATAATGAATTAAGGGGATACATTGTGATCTGAGGAATTTCACAGAGCACTGCAGTGGTGATGCATCTTCCAAAGATATGTTCAGCTCTATTTAGCTCCATCTTCCCACCGAGAGCAGGAGAAGTCTGAAGCTACACTGCCCTCCTCTGGATGCAGACTCCTACAGCAACAATCCAGCTGAGCGGCCAAACGCCACCTCGTCCAATGTCATCTCCCGACTCTCGCTGCTGTTTTACAGCACGAGGTGATTAGGCGATATTAACTAATACCTTTCATGACACGCTGGCCTGAATCCAGTGTGACTGTGGTGTACTTTTGAATGTCAGAGTGCTCTGCCTTTCTCTCCTCTTTTTCTCTGCCTTTATTTCTGGCTGAATCATCAGATCACAGTGTGTCTCCCTTCCCAGGTTACTGTTTCTGCTGTGTCAGGCTGGCGCACTGCCTGGTCTTTCCCTAAGGTTTGTCGACTTCTGTTTAGTGCATCTGGAGACAAACATCAGAGAATACATAACATGAAAAACTGGACTGGGGGGAGGGTTTTCGCATTAAAAGAGGCTCTTGTTGCTCTCATTCAGTTATTTTCAGGAGGATGTCCCGGGGACGGCGCCTTGCACGGTGAAATGAAGAGGAGTTAATATTTCACACCCAGCGCAGTCAACCAGAACCATCACACCGATGTAAAGCCTGTCTGTTTATTTGACACCTGTAGACTTTGATTATATGAGGAAACACAACTAACTCAGCGAGCGAACTGGCATGCATTGAATTCAGTCACACAAGAGGAGAGAAACCTGATGCACAATGCAGCAGGAGACTGTTAGTCTAGCTTACCTTAGCAAGGTCCACTAGTGAGTTTGCTTGGTCATTCAGCTTGCGTTGCTCCATTTTAACACTTCTCAATCTGAACACAAGACCATTCAGAACCCAATAAATTAACGCGATCAGAGTCGATCATTTCTCTCTCTTTTTTGTTTAAATTTGTGCACACACAAGGCATACACATGGAGAACACTCCCAGGACATGCACAGGATGTGTGTAGAGAATGCAGGGATTGCAGGGGGTCAGTCTGTTTGGTTGAGCTGCATGCAAGTGGATAGGAGGCCACAGAGGGGAGAAGAGCTGCCACGGAGGAGAATGAGATCAGCTCTGCGTCCTACTCAACCAAAACACACAACCACACTAGAATACTCACACCAGAGCACCTATGCAGTGCAAACAGCTTTTATCGAGCCCTTTATCTATTTGACGTTTGAGATTATAAAACGGCAAAAAGAAGAAAAAAAAAAAGGCTGACGGCTGTTTCTTTAAAGTTCCCGTCGGCTTTAACCAACTTCTAAATTATTTAGTCACTCAAAAAGACAAATATATCTGTTTTATATTAACACAGAGGCTAATGTTTAACGCAGCTTTCTGCACGTGTGGTTTCTCTTAATATAAACGTAAAAAAACGTCCTCGACTCTGTTCCTATTAATCGTGTATCACAAGTAGAAGTTGTTTAAAAAAATTTTCCAACTTGTGAGTTAAAATAACCTGCAAATACGTTCCTTTATTATCCTGCTCGCAAAGTCTAAAACCTCACCTACTTCATACAACATGCTTAAATAATTCACGTCTCCTGTTTAATTAGGCTTCTAAAGCCTGTTTTTAATGATCTTCTCAGGGGGCGCAAAAACAGCAACTGTGCAGTATTGTAGGGTGTCAACCACACGTGGTTTCGAGTTATTAAAGAGGTTTTTTTTTTCTTCCCCTCCTCCTGATTCACTGGTAGCGTCGTGACGGCACTCTATCTTTCAGAGTTTAGATATAATCATAATAACAATCTCCCTCGCTAACTTAGGGCACTTTGAGGTGATCGTTAGGTCGTGTGTCAATCAGATGCGCACGTTAATGAAGATCAAGGAGGGATTTAAAGGGGCCTTCGGGGGACTCTGTTAATTAGTCGAGATGCATCCATTCTCATGCAACGCAGGATTTTTTTTTTTTTTCTGTTTCCTGAAGACAGGCAAATGTGGAGCGAAGATGACAGGTTAGACCAACAGAGGGTGCCACAAGAGTCGCTAAAGGAAAACTACAGGCAAAAAGGGGAAAACGTCCTAACAGCTGAGGCCCGAAGTGCTTCATACAGACTCTAAAGACAAGTACTATACTGGGAAAAATAGCACTTTTATTATTCAGGTAGTTAAATGAAACAAACAAAAAAAAGAAGGAGGTAGTCTCTCTGACATTATGAAAGATATTCAATGTTAAATGCAGGTTGATGTGAGACCTGTTAGAATTATACATTTCACAGTTGGATGACCAATAGCTGTCAGATGGGGTCGAAGCACGGTGCAGCCGGAGGTCAGCCTCCCTTTTATTTCCTACGTCTCTTTTCCTCGGTCAATCACTCGTCGTGGGCAGCTCTCCTGTTTTTTTTTTTTTTTTGAATGAGCACTCTAAATCTGCTTGCTATTCATCAGGAGGGAAAAGAGCTACGCTAAGATTTCCAATACCCCCACTAAATCTGTTAAGGCAATCTCAGTTAGTGCTGCTCTATATTTTTCACCCTCCCAACTTGCTTTCTGTGTAATGACCTCCGTCCAGCTCATTGTGGAAAGAAATGCAAATTCCCCCTCCTCGGTGTAATGGACGGGGTGAACATTCTGCAGTCTGACGCTTGTTTTTTTTTTTTTTTCTTTCCTCTCCTCTCTCCCCTCTATCTCGTCCCCGCTGACAGCTTCACGGTGTCGCTCACAGTTTGCAGCCTCTCCCCGGCACAAACGGGATTGCTCGGAGGCTTTACCCTGACCTTCCTCTCAGGTCACTTTCCCGTTTCTCCAATTCACTGATCTCCCAGCTAACAAGCACTTGCTGTCCTGCTTCTTGCTATGATTCCCTGCTTCAACCTTGTGGATGGCAGGGGACAGCGTTCCCTAAGGAGAGGATTGGTCTTGACAGTATTGAGACACTTGAATTCGCAGCTGGCGCGGCTTAAAACATTCTGTTACACATTTGGCCGCACGTGTGCGACATCATGCCTGCGTTTGTGGCAAATTGTACCCATCCAAATGACCTGAACTGCACCTGTCGCCACCTCTCCTTAATTATTTCTCCCATGACAGCTGCGTGTGCTTGTTGTTTACGCCGTTGGCCAGCCGCGGTAACTCTCTGCTACTGTGTCATCCAACGGGGAAATGGAGGAAATGTGGCTGCGAATGTCGTAACAGGCGTAACAATGGTTCCACTCGCCGAAAGATGACCCTGAGCCCCTGATCTGTACGAGCATGGCTGCTCGGTTGCATAACATGACTTTTGAGGGATGTAAAAAAAACAAACAACAAAGAATCGTATACTTGTGCTACTGCAGGTCTGTCTCCTGTAGAGCTCTAGTCGTCATCCTTCGGTACGTGAAAACACAGTTGATTGGAGTTTAATCAGTGGCTTTCTGATTAAAGATCAAAGTCTCATCACATCCATGCAGAAATGGAAAGAAAAACACCCTCCGTCACTGATAATTGAAATTCACTTGATATGCATCTGTGGGTGTGTAAATGTGCAGCATGTGTCCGTTCAGCAATAATAAAAAAAAAAGCAGGAAAAATGTGAGACTAATGTGTGTTTTGCTGCTCTGAGGACCTTCGTAGCAAAACTAATCTGGCAGCATCGGGATTGTGTCATGTGGAGTCGACTAAAGGCAAACATTTCTGAGGCATGAATTTCACTTATCAAATGAGGGAGTGTTATTTATTTTTTTTTTAGTAACATTATTGGGTTCAAGGACAAGCTCTCGTTAGCATGCACACAACAGGTCTGTATCTACGTGTGAGGCGAAGACTTACTTTCGAGCTCTATTGCATTGTGTCGACACAAACAGGAAAAAAAAGGAAACATGAAGTAGACAAATGAATTATTACAACATCAGATAAACATATTCAGATGGCAAGAATCTGTTTTTGCTCAACTCTGTAACCCTCCTTCGCTACGCTGTCGCCTCCCCTTGGCTTTTACAGTGTTTCATCCTGGAATCCGGAGTGTCGTTTCTCAGCGATTCTAAGTCTTGGTTATCAGAAATACAGCGACGACCTCCTCGCCGGTAAACATTCACAGACGGTGCCTCACAGCGTCTGTTTAGCAGCAGTTTACACCTCACGTTCTCTGCGGTGGCTGATGAGGACTCGCCAGCAAACTTTTCACGCCGTCTTGCAGCTTTTAGCGCAGGAAACAAGCGATAACCGATTTGATGTTTACCGTCACCTCCTGACAAGTCAAGGACGCCCGTAGGCCTTTCTTTCTTTTTTTACAACCCTCCACTTGTCGGGACACTTCCTATTGTATTTTAATCTCAATCCAGACTTCACTCTGCACATGTACTACCAGAGAAAGCCCTCACGCACAAATCTTTCTAAGACAAAGGTGTGACGGGAGGACGTCGACGCCATGCTGAGCGGTTTGTCCTTGCACACAGAGCTGGACGTGACTTTTTCCCACCGAATCTGGTTCTGTATAGATTTAGCTTTAGCTCAAAGCCGTTTCCATTATTAGGCTGTCCTAGAGAACAGAAGGTGGACATGAGACATTGTCATCGCTGCTGCAAACCGCCGGAACACAACAGCGAGGGTGTAATGACTTGAGAAAGCAACACAGAGAAAACGCTATTAAACTGCACAAACCTGGATGCGGGTTGTAGCAGCGGCGGCGGACAGTTTGTGCGTATATGTGCTTCCCTACCTTATAATTAAACATCCTGATGCATTTGAAACATAAATGCACGTTCAAGAGATTCATGAGCAAATCAAAGCTGTGCCACAGAGATCCTTATACATGAATCAGACCACAGACGGCAACGAAACATACAGACAGAGGACATTTTACTTACAGCTACATATCAATAACATCGCCGTGCATTTGTTTGAATAAAGCACTGAGCCTGTTACTGAAAGAAGCCACGGGGCGGGCGTGCTGGTGAGCACTGTAGGTTGAAGAAAAACAACAGCGAGGTGAGGCTAAAATCAATACTGTTTTGGAGTTAGGTAGCACTTTGGGGGGGTCCCCGGGGACCCACTAAAAGACTCGCTGACAGGTAAGTGTCCGACCAGCCGCTAGAGAAGTAGAAACCCAAATGTGTCAGCCCTGAGGTCAGTCTGACATCTGACTCGCAGCGCAGGAGGACGCGCAAGAGTCACTGTGACAGCGAGAGGCGAGCGAGAGGGAAATCAATATGCCGTGAATTCTGTAGCTCCGGAATATTTCAAGGTAAAAAATGAGTCCCGCACAGATAAAAAAAAAATGTGTCGCTTTCATAATGACAATTCGTACCCTGCTTTAAATATAAATGCTTTACAAGAACCTCTAGTGGATCAAGTGAATAATATTTGCATAAATCTAGTTCCCGTGCATATTTTACATGCAGAATCAACAGCCCAGCTCATTAGCACATCTGTAAAGTTAGTCAAGTCAGGTGAAGCACGGTAATGAGGAACAAGATCCTTCAATAATATGAGCACATAATTTTTTGCTACAGGTGTCAAACAATTCAGATTTCAGGTTTGTGCTGCTCAGCGGTCAGTCACATGAATGTACTGCAGGATTAAAAAAAAAACAACAAAAGGTGTCAGACCCACACAGGTCAGCGTTAAGAGCAGGGCACCTACTGGTGAATGGCTTGGAGAAATTTTCTCTGGTGCTTCCTGACTCTGGCGTGGTCCATCTTCCTCACCAGTTTGGTGTTCTTGTAGATGAGCCACGTCTCCCTGAGAACATTCGCAGCTGTGTTTTTCACCTAAAGTGACAAAACAGAGGGATTTCAGTCAAGATTGCCAACGGGTTAAGCGTCTGTGATGTGAGTGTGGAGCGTCCGCTTACTCTTTTTGTTAGCTGGGTGTCCATCATAAAATTGTGGACGTGTTTTTCAGCTTTGGTTAACTCCAGTTTCTTCGCCACCACAGCCACCACCAAGGCAGTACAGCCAGCACCCTAAGACGTGAACGCACAGTCTCATTGATTTCAGCAGCGTATCAGTTTCTCCGCATTAAAAGTGCGGTCTGTCAAAAAGAGCGATCGGTCTGCGGTGTACTCACCATAATGCCAGTCAGGAGGCAGACTCCTTTCCCACAGTAAGTATGTGGGACCATATCTCCATATCCAATGGTAAGAAACGTGATTGAGATCAACCACATGGCTCCGAGAAAGTTGCTGGTTATGTCCTGGTTGTCATGGTACCTGTAATGAATAATAAATGCAATAGATTGACTTGCCTTCATGCACCTGCAGAAATCTGCTGCACTCCAGCTTCTCCTCATAACTAAAACTCGTTTTTTAAAACAGAAAGAGGGGAAAAAAAAGAGCATCAACTGCTTTGTCAGGATTCTGCAATCTCCCCTTACAGGATGTGTAAATCCTTCTATCTCGATGTTCAGACACAGAGTGAGCTAAGACGTGTGTACGCTATCTATTTTTATTCCTTATCTATGTTTCATGCTGAGCAGCGTGGCATAGCGTGAGAAACTGATCCAGGCACCTCTCGCAAGCTCGCACTGTCCATGCAGCGATGATCCATAGCGAGATGGTGAAGACCAGCAGCACAGTGCCGGGACAGATGGTCATGAGGGTCTTCATCACGAAGCGCGTGTTAAAGTTAATCTTGTTGAGTGCACCGATGCTGCGGGACGACGCATCGGTGAAGAGCTTGCTGTGCAGCAGCATGACTCGAGCGATGAGGTACAGCCGCAGGAACATGGGGATGGACAGGATGATGTCCACGTCCGCATCCGTCTTGGATGGCACATAGGAGTAGGCCAAGCGTGCTGTCCAGGTGAAGGTGTAGTTCCCGGGGATGGGGTGTATGGCGCACACCAGGATCTCCAGGCAGATGAAGAAGATGCGCTCATATGTCATGGCTATCCTCCAGTCATCAGCTGCATTGTCCACCATAAATAGCTGCAAGGAGAGGGCACAGTGAGGCTGATGAAGGGTAAAAGACAGCATACATTTTCATCATGGTGACGCAGCAAAGCTACAGGAAATCATTAAACCCATTAAAGAATAAGTCACAAATTGCCCCAAGTTGTTAAATTACATTTTTTTTAACCTACATTTGTTAAAGACCTGCGCTCAGAACAACATTCGGAGGTGTAGCCTGAGAAAATGACAAACAACTCATATGGCGGGGGACGTATATTGTTTCAAGGCCAGAAATGCCCCTCAGACATGTACAAGGGTATGTGGTGAAAGCTGCAGCACTGAAATATCATGCCTTTGCATGTTTTTATATGTTTGCCCTGCCTTTTTAGAAGCCATTGTTACTATTTCTGTCTGTATGGTTAGAAAATATTTCAGTGATGATTAGTTCTCTCAAGTTTCATGCAACCTAAAGCGTCAAATTTAAAAATTTTGAATATTGAAATGAACCCTCTGAACTCCAAAACCCCCACAGGCGGATTTGAAAGCATGTTATATTTTAAAAATTGACAATATTAATAATCTGTGACACACCATTCTGCTGGGAAACTTATTTAAATCTAAGCTTAAATCATCAAAATGACTTTATTGTGTATGCTTCATTTTAAAATGAGATAAAAACGAACCATTCACTCGAACCATATTCTGTAAAAAATGATAAATCCTGCTCTCCTTGGCACAACTGCAAAGCCACTACTGACAGCAACGGTCATGTGACGCAAATTAATGGACTTCTGCAGCTCACACAGAGCAGGTAGGAAACAAGTATGGAAACAAACTAAAAGCGTAAGGAGCAAAATGTCTGTTTCTTACATCAAGCCTCACTTTTGTTCACGTGTTGGTAACTCTCGTGGGCACTTGGTTCCAGGTTTTTTCAAGTTTTTGTAAAATAAATAATGAAAGACATTATTTTTTAATAACTTACGGCTTTATACATTTCTCATACGAAACAAAAGATGTATTGGGGTTCTCTCGTCTTGTCTACTAGTCATGGTTGTTGTGTTTCCATAGAGTTGCAGGATTTTATATTACAGTGACAATGTGACAGCAGCAAAAAAAAAAGTCCAGACAGTGCCTTAAATATTGATGGTGACAGAAAAAACTCCAAAATAGTCAATTATGATAAAAACATAATAATCAGCAGCTACTAAACTATTGGATATATTTGAGATTTTAACTTTGTTTGAACAAAACAAGACATTTAAAGATGTCTGGGTTGTCTGTGCTCAGGGGATCCACGGCGTGATTGGCATTTTTTCACCACTTTCTGACATTTGACAGACTAATCAGAGAAAAGAAAATAATAAATCCTGTATCTCATAGCGGTAGATGGTAAAAGCTGAGACGTTGTTTGGTCTGTTTCACACGTCTCTATCTTGTTTGAATGACATATTCTGCCCCAGATTTCCCTTCTATGCTTCTATACTTCTGCTTTCAAGCTCCTTAAAAAAAACCAACACAAAGCGTCACGTCAAGCGTTACATTAGCAGCACGCGGTGAGCATTTTCAACTTCAAAGCATTATACTGATGAGAACATCTGCCGCCTCCACATTAGCATTAGCTTCTGATCGCCTGGCCACCCCCGACCAGAAGGTGGGCTGTTCCACCGGGGGGACCTCGGCGTGTGGATCCCAACACCTCTCATCACTCTTCTCCGCCCTGTCCTCTGTCATATTCAGCAGCTTCCTCACATGGTCACTTCTGCTGCTCCTCCTCCTCTTCCTCACTTTCAGGCCAATCTGCAGATATCTCGGCTCAGGAGATTCGCAGCACGGTTTATTCACCCTGAACTAATGGCCGAGCTCCGGACTGCCATCACCAGTGATCCCCCATCATGCTTATGGCTGTAGATGGACTGTCTCAATCTTCCTCCCCTTACGCAGTTTTGTGTTTGCCGGCTGCAGATTAAACACTATCAAAGCACATTAACTTGCCCTGCATTAGTTAAATAATTCCTCTCTCTGACACACGGCGCTGATATTCCTCCACAGCTGCTCCTGCTCCATCCACTCAATCACGTCAAGGTCCTCTGCCTGTACGAGCCGTCACAAGTGGCAGTAGATATTTCACAAAACGTTGCTGTCAGCAAATGCGAGCGAGGCTTCCTGGCGGCTGTTTTTTTTTTTGCCATGAGGGCAGACGCTTTTCTAAAGGAAAAAGAAAAACTGCACCATTACACTTTGTCGGAAACCTCCCTAATGTGCTCGGTAATGAATTATGGGACGTCCAGAGGCTTCTCAAGGCTTTAAAATGAAAACGTGCACGTACACGGTAGAGTGTTCTTTTGCTTACAGCTCAACACGACCAGAGACGAGATTGTAAGCACACGTCAGTTCATCATTCAGCACCAAGCTGGAGGGATGAAAATGATCAGGGGAAGATGTGAGGTCAGAGGAGGGGGAAGGTTGTGTATTGTGCTGCGAAAGCACTGATTTCTTGGGATTTAGTATTTTAAAAAATAAAAAAAAGAGTAATACAGGGCTGCAAGGTGGCTCAGTGGTTAGCACTGTCGCCTCGCAGCAAGAAGGTCGCCGGTTCGCGTACCGGTGAGGACACCCGGGATCTTTCTGTGTGGAGTCTCCATGTTCTCCCCGTGCAGTGTGGGTTCTCTCTCCGGGTTCTTCCTCCAAAAACATGTTGAGGTTAATTAGTGATTCTAAATTGTCCGTAGGTGTGAATGTGAGTGACCCTCGTGAGGATTAAGCGGTGTATAGATAATGGATGGATGAATAATACATCAGAATAGTTAATTGGATGAGTCACGGATCATAAAAGCAAAACAATCAGGCCTGTATTTCTACTTTATAGTCGGGTTAACATGTCAGTTTTGAGACTCTATACAGTTTTTAAGGAGGGAAGACTACACATTTCTAGTTGTTAATGGTTGCTGTCACTGTGCTACAGTACATTTAATGCATCATATATGTGCAGTTAACCTGTAATGTAATGGAACCCAATCTGTTCTCCAAATGGGTGAAAATAACAATATAATATAATGGTGAAGAGCTGCTTTAAAGAGAGAATGCTATTAAGCAAAAATGCACGATTTGGGCGGCTGTGGCTGAGGTGATAGAGCGAGTCGGTCAACGATCAGAGGGTCGGAGGTTCCATTCTGCCCTCTGTCATGGTCGTTGTGTCCTTGGGCAAGACACTTCACCACCTTGCTTGGTGTGAATGCAAATGAATGGATTGTTTGAGGTGGTGGTCGGAGGGGCAGAATGGGAGTCTGCCCCGGGGCAACTGTGGCTACAACCGAAGCTCCCACCACCACCGGGATGAATGTGTGAATGAGTAACTGACAGTGTAAAGTGTCTTTGAGTGTCTAGAAAAGCGCTATTTCTAAATCTGATCATTTACTACTACTATTTGTTATCGTCATCTTAGTTCTGACGTCTTATAAATCCACTCCTGACATGAGGTTCAGTCTACGTAAGAAAGAAAAAGATTTGCACCACCATTAAATCAGCACCTCGCTCTGCCTGAAATCTCCACACTGACCTCTGCACTGCATGTCCAGGATTTTCTGTAACCCTTTTAGCCTGAGCGAATGTGGGAAAAAAAGACTTCCTGACCTTATCTTAATGTGTGTTAATTGCATTACATTAGATTTCTATGTTTAACACCCTGAAATCAGCCGAGATGCCAAGAGAGCGGACGCATTAATGAAGTCTATTTAAGTTATTTCAGCCTAATTTACTCGACTCACGCCACAATTTGTTCACGTTTCGATGCGATCTGTGATTGTATTTATTCTCGTCGTGATGTATTTTGATGCCTCCGCCCATTCAGCCGCCTGACCTTCTTAAACTGTACCTTTTTCCAGTGAGCCACCACCTTCGCTGTCCTTTTTCTAAACCGTTAAAGTTAAAACACAGGGTGGGGTTGATGAATTAGGGGCGTAGGGGTTGTGCAGCGTTTCTGTGTCACGGGAAAAGGTCCAAATAAATGCCAGCTCCCTCCTCAACTTTCCTACAGGCTCTCTGCCGTCTTGAGTGTGAAATACAGCCGACGTGTCAAAACAGCTCCTTTTGCTATGATGACAAATGAAATGTTCATAATCTTCAGCGCACACTGGAGGCACACATCACGACTCGGCAGCGTGCCAGCTACTCTCCATTTAGTTTAATTTGGAATTTCTAAAAAAAAAAAGAAAAAAACCTGTCCCACTCCTGAAGGGCTAATGGGATCAGTGACCTAGATTGTAAATTTAGCACGTTACATAAAAATGGAATTGCTGAAATAGTCATATTTCTCGCATCGCAATGAAAGCCCCCCATTCATCGTGTTCGACTCAAGGACAAAGAAAGCACACAGGAAAAGAAAAAAATCAATAACGCCTCACGCTGCCACTTTTCTCGCAGACATACATGAACGCTCCACATGCTACGCTTTGACAGCTTCAGAGGATCTCTCGCTAGACCGCAGCCTCGACACGCAAACTCCGCCGCCGAGCACCTCGCGCTCATTACAGCCTCTAAGCCAATTATGTGTCAAACAGCTACTGTACAAGAAATATCAACTGTCAACAAGCTGGCACATCCCAAAAAAAACAGCAGCAACTAATGCCCCTGAACAACTGCCCCACAAAAGCCTCCGCAGCTCATTTATATTTACTTAAAAGCTGCAATCAAAGTCTCCCTCCTTCTTCTCCCCAACACGAAGAAAAAAACACATGAATTAAATTTTCAGGGGCAGTTGTTCATATCAAATGAGTGACACCGAGCTCCTTTAACAAACTGACATCTGTCAGAGAAGTGTGTAACTCTAACCACAGCTCGTCCTGTTTGGCTTTCCAAGTGAGTGTAATGTAGACACGGAAACACAAGCTGTGACTCCACTCTACTACGGTTTCTTACTTACAGAATTAGGCCTCTGAAAGCAGCTAAATCTATTGTTTGCACACAGCACAAGCCGCCACGTTTTATTTTACATTTTAAACAACAAACGGGCCCTGTCAAAAGCAGTTACAAAGTTTGTT